ATTTCTAGATCCTCAGTGTTCCCTTTGATCCCAGTGTCTTTTCACCAGAACCTTACGAAATGATATCCCCTGAAACTCAGGAGTTCTTTGCTATGGATTGCAACTCCGACTGGGCATTCCAAGCTTCTGAGAGTCACTGATCAATACTGACTCCAATGAGCTCTGACAAATGAGTTTTCAAGCTGCTTCAAGTTCCAAAACCCCAATTTTTGACTCTCAGTAGGAACCAAGGTGTGAACACCCAACATGTGCAGGTCTCCTGGGAAAAAATACAGTATTCCTAACATGGTACACATCCTAAATTTGGTAGGGGACTGAGAAATACTTGTCAATTGATTACAAGTGTTAGGGTCAAAATACCCCAATCCAGTAACTACTGGGCAAAATCTCCTGACATTTCTCTCCAGAGGAAGGGTTATGTACAGTACCTAGTTACCTTAAGAAGATATTTCCAAAGACAGGGATTGAAGAAAGTAACAACAGTTGACACATATAACAATGATCACAATTGCTTCCGCAAATAGAACACTCATTGCTAATCCTTTGACCCTTTATACATATTACCTCTAATTTTCACAACAACTCAATCAAATAGAAATTGTATCCTTCTACAAAAAGGGAAACTGAGGCTCCAAGAAATGATGTGGCTTTCTAAGGTCACACAGCTACAAAGTGGTGATTCTCAGTCTACAGAGCACAATGACCGAGGCACAACTGTGTCTCTCACCGGAGCTCTGTTCCCTTCTCTCCTCGCTGTTTTCCCACTTTGAAGGGTTATTCATTTTGTTGGCTGTTCCTACAAATAAATTGAAGACAGTGGCACCGCACATTCTAAGTAGCAGGGGCTCAGGATCCCATAAAGGAGTGTTTTCCCAAGCCCCCGCAGCCTCCAGGGGTGGCTGGAGACTAAGAATTAATTCCATTCCAGCCAGTGGCCTTGAGCTATAATTCAAAGTGAATTTTGGAGAAGGGGCCAGCACGCAGAGATTTGAAAGGAAGAACTTTAACTCTAATATGAATATATCAAGGCAGGGGTATTCTCTTCCTCCTTTGCATCATTTCCTTCCATTTAAATCTTGCTCTGTGTGCCACAGAAACTTCTACAAGGGTCGAGGACACGGAGTTCAGTAACAATCTCTAGCACAAGTTTCGCATTGTCCTGCTTTCTGTCTTCCCCCACAGCTAAGGCCCTCAGCTCTGTGACCTTCCGGACGATTTATCTGGATGAATCTTTGTTCCTGGTTACCTGTGCACATGAAATTGTCTTTCTTCCTGTTCATTTTGTACTACAGGGTGCTAAAGGCATGAATTCAAAGCTGCTTCAATCTGTGTTTATATCTGAGCATTAGCAGTGGGTTTTGAAGTACTGGTCATTTCAGGTGATATTTTTGTGTACTATTTCAAGATCATTTACAGCTGACCTTGCAGCCTTGTGGGCTCTGATACAGGTAGATTGAGTGTGATGGACAGATGAAAATGAAAAAAAAAAAAAAAGTAAGAACAGTTGGGTTTATGGGAATAGCAACGAGAGAGATGGAGTCTGGTCCTGAAGAAGCCTCAGAAGCACAACATGAGAGCCTGGATTTAGATTCTATATCTCAGCTAATGACAAAACAAGATGAAAAGGATGGAAAAAATATACCTGCCCCACATCCCTACTCATATTTTTTTTTCCTTCAGGACAGAGAAGAGTGAATGTAGGTAAACCAACCCCTATTGAGAGGCTACCTATTATCTATGTGTTTAGGGAATGAGGAAAAGAGATAGGAGATGTGATGGAGGTTTAAATTAGCCAAATCATTAACTGTAAGTTGTTACTTCTTAAACCTGCAACCCTTGGATCGGCCGCATCACAATCCCATGGGGGAGCTGGTTAAAATGCATATGCCCGGGCCCTCACTCCAGACTTGCAAAAACTCAGAATTTCTAGGGGTAGACACAAAGAGTCTGTATTTACCAGACCCTCCGGATGAGTGACATGGACGCTCATTAAAGTGGGAGAGCCTCTGCCAGGAGTGGAGCAGAAGAAGGTTCCTCTCTTAGGATATTTGCCAAAACCTGAGTGTGAAGATGTTTACGCTAACTCTACCTCGCCTGTCCCGTTCACCCTCCTCCTCCCTTTCTGAAGGGAGCATCTTCAGGGCACTTACCTGGTCTGATGGGGCTCTGCATACAGTTCGGAGATGGGATGCCAGGGTGAAGGGGTGCAGACGCCCGGCTGCTGAGGTCCATGACCGAGGGGGCAGCCGAGGAAGCTGGCTGCAGCCCGGGAGGGTGAGGGCTGTGGTCATGCTGAGATGGGCTGGGGGGAATGCCATTTTCTGACAAAAACTCCTCCAGGTCCATGTATTCCAACTGGAAAGTATCTCCGTCATAGGGAAGGGTTTTGTCCCATAAGGTAGGCCCCAGGAATGCCGACTGGGGGACCGTCGGGCTGTTACTCTCATCATCCAGCTTCTTTTCCTTGTCTTTATCTTTACTAAATGCTGCAGAAGAAGGGAAAGTTGGACTTAAAAAAAAAAAAAGAAAGAAAGAAAGAAAGAAAGAAAGAAAAGAAAAGAAAAACAATACCGCTCTTTTACCACTCTTCCTGGCCTGTTATAAAACTACTTCTCACTAATGGCAGGATCCTTCTCTGGCTGCTGTCTTTTGTAGATCTAGAGTTAAAAGTTCAGGCAGGACGTGGATCTCTGCCTGTTTTTCAACATCTTCCTATTTACTTTGGAAAGAAGGCACTAGCCCTTGGGGCAGGGCTACAGGCTGATCTAGGATAAAAACCAGCGAACAGCCTCAGCACCTTATTTGAGAAGAGTAATAACTTAAATTTAAAATAGTAAAATAACACCTGCGATTATATGCAACTGCTGTCATTTTTAACAAAACAACAGCCAATAACCAGGCTTGAATTATCTTCCAGAAATTCAACACAGCAACAATATGAGGTCATTTAGACTTACAAAGCCAGTGAGTTAGTGGTCTTAATTTTGGTAAGGCAGGGACCTTCCACCCTTCTTTAATATCATGTTTAGAGCACCTACTGGATATCTGGTTATTTCCATATATTATCTCAAAAATCTCACAATAAACTTGCAAAATAGCAATTACCTCCATTTACAACAAAGACTTGGAGGCTCTGAGACTTGAAGGAACTTGACCAATGCCTCATGTTGGCAGAGGAGAAAAATGAGAACTTTCTGAGCTCACATGTCTTAGCTTCTAAAGCCACTGGGGCACACTGATTTTTACGAAAGGAGTTTAAAAAAATACAAAGTGTTTTCTTCCTTCTCTTCCCCAAACGTTTGAGTATGATCCAATTTACAAACAGTATGCATTTACAAAACCTTTCAAAAGCACAGATATTAGAAAAGGTGAGTTATTCTATACACTTATGTTGGAAGTATGCAGCTATTTTCTACCTGGAAATACTGCTCGCCCATTAGGTCTTTAACAAGCATTCTGGATCTTGCCAATTCTAGTATTCAGTCGTGGGTGGAATCTGGGATTAAGGAATTTGCTTCTGAGTTTCATCTTCAGAGAAACACAGCCTCCACTGCCATCCATTCTAACCCTCTACCGTCTCATCTGAAAATCTGACTTAAAACACCCACATATGCAAAAGCCTGCAGCAGGCAGCCCCTTCCTCCCAAATGCTCTTCCTTAAAGCATAGTTAAGGAGGGGTCCGTGGCTATCATCTGCAGATTGCAAACTCTTGCAATGCAACAGGTTGTCCTCTCCTAGGAAAGAAGGTGCAAGTACTCCCAAGCTATTTGTAGCCAAATAACCTTTCAAGACTTTACACTGTGAGTCGCACGGTTCGCATTTGCTACTGTGATACCGAAGGCATGAAACCGCATCAACCCAAATCCGTGGTATCACTAGCTGGGTTTGGGGCCTCATCACACGTACCCCTCCTCTACCGCTATGGCCAAGGTTGTCTTGGGAAGGTTTGGGACTTACCAAGAAAGGGCTCAAGCCAGAGGAGGCTCCTGCGCGATTACACGTGAGCCTGCTCCGCTCTCCCCTCCCACCAGAAAAAGTGCACCGGGAAAGTGTCAGCGCTGGAGGCGTGCACCGCTTCCCGCCGAGAGACCACTCCCCCCACCGGCCCCAGCCCCCACCCCGCTTTCTCAGCTACCCTTCACCAGGAGAAAAGGCGTCTTCTCTCACACCTCGTGGGTTACAAATACTAACCAGTAACAGAAGCTGTAACACAACCCCAAAACCCAGGCTACGCAGTGAGACCCCCTCCCTCAAGCCGACCCCCGCCCCCTGCCCCGCACAGAACCAGGCCCCAGGGTTTCTTCTCTCCAGCCCGGGAGGCTCTGCCCTCCGCAGGCGGGCTCGCTCTGCGTGCGGGTGTACCTCGTTCTAGGGAACGATCCTGACCTGTCAAGTTACACCTCCCACCCGCGCCGCAGGAGCGGGACCCAGGGAGGCCGGGTGCCCGAAGCTCTTTAAATGTAGCTCAGGAGGGGTTCCTCCCCTTTCATGGAGGAGGAGGAGGAGGAAGGGGAGGAAGGGTGCTGGGTGAGCTCCTCAATTTCATCAGAGCGGGGCCGGGGCGCCGCGGGACAGGGCGGGAGCGGGGTGGGGGGATGCTCCAGCGGGCGTGCCCGGCCGCGGAGGGGGACCCCCGGAGCGTCGTCCCTTCCCGGAGCGGGGCCGCGGCAGCGCTCACCGTCTTCGTGGTGAAGGGGGAGCTTCAGCGGGTTCTCCAGCAGGGACCTGAGCACGCCGTAGGGAGGCGGGATAAAGGTGGGATTCAGGGGGAGCGGTCGGGACATTTTCTCCATCGCGATGCACTCAAAATTTTTCCCCTTAAAAAAAGAAATAAGAAAGAAAGAAACAACCGTCCCCTAAAATGTTGCTGAGCTTTTCCTCCGTCCTTTGCCAAAAGTACTCGCTCTCAAGGCGGTGGAGAAAAGGGAAGAAAAAAATTACTTATATTTTTATAAATACATCTGCATAAAAATATATATTAAAAAAAAACTTTCGGGTTTCCAGTGCAGACGGTCCCAGGAGAGCGCGCCAAGTGCCCGCGGGCTCCCCGGCGACGCGCAGGATGCTCTCACCTGCCTCGAACCCCTCGTCTTGCAAAATGTTCAAAACTGAAAAAAAAGAAAGAAAAAAAATATGTCGACGGCTGCAGAAGGGCAGAAGGCACCGCGCCGACCCCAGCCCCTAGTGCCAGCACCGGAGGCGGCGCGCCGTCCCACCCCACCCCCCTCCCCGCGCCGGCGGCCGCTGCTCCCCAGCGCTCCGCGGCCCCGCAGCGCCGGGCTCAGCGCATCCGGCCACCCATGTGCCGCGGCCCTGACAAGAGTGACGTCAGGGCCCGCACCTCGCGCCCATAGGCGTGCGGGGGCGGGGCCACGCGCGGCCCCGCCCGCCTGGCCCGCTTGCCCCGCCACCGTGTGTTTAGCGTCGCCGCGCGCGCCGATTTTCCGGGACTTTGCAGCGCTGGATGGTTACAGGGGAGTAGGTGCCAGATTCCCTGGGCCATCAACTTACGCTCCGGTATTTTTATTTTATTTTATTTTATTTTGGTCTGGATGGGAAGAGGAATGAGAAATTTATATCCATAGTTTTCAGGCTGGGAATAACCTGAGGAGTTTAAAAAAAAATCCCGATGCCCAGGCCACATCCCAGATCAATTAGAACAGAACCTCTGGGGTGCTATCCGGGCGTCCATAGTTTTTAAAGCTCCCCAGGTGGTTCCAAAGAGTAGCCAAGTTTGAGATGATTGGTTTAGATCGGATTGAAGGTAATGACTCTTCTCAATATTTCTCCTGGCCCCAGCCAAGCTTAGCGTCTTCTTTCTTGCCCGGTTTCCACCACCACCAAAAAATAACTACTTCCTACGAGTCCGAATGGGATGCGAAAAGCAGAATGGGGAGCAGAGGGCTGAGCTGCTGGGCACTGTTGCCCACGCTGCCCAGAGGTGTTAACGGTGGGGGGCGAGAGGGGTAGACATTTGCCTGAAACGGAAAGAGGCGGGAGAGACACAGACACACTGAATGGGATTTTAGGAATATTTACTCTGGGTGAGTACAGGTGACTGTGCTTGGGTCAAGTTATTAGGTCTGCACGGTGATTAAAATAATTTTGTAAAGTATCCCCTACGGGGGTTTCGGCTTTCCTTGCTGTCACAGCAGCTGCGACGTCTCCCTCAGCCAGTTTGACCCCGCGGCGCCCACGGTCCCCGAGAGCTGCGTGCGACCCCTGTGTGGTAGCTCCGTTCCCGCGTGGGGTGGTGCGGGCGCTGGCGTGGCGTGCAGTCGCGGCGCCCCCTGGAGAGCTCCGCGGGGGTCCAGGCAGCTTCTCCCCCTCCCTCCTTACCTCTGCTTACTAAGACTAGGGTAGTTCGATCTGGGGAAGGGGCTGCAAGAACGAATGGGCACGAATTAAAGAAAACCGGTTTTCAGTGAGACGTAAAGGCCTCTGTGACCCCAGGCTGAGTTGCTGGGGAAGGATGTGGTGGAGTCTTGATGGGGTTTACTTCCCCAGGAAGGGGTTGTAAGAGAGGAGGCGCCTGAAACCCCAGAGATCAGGAGCGGCGGCGCAAGGGGATTCAGGGTACCCTGGCAGGATGATTGTGGCAAGTGCCTTTCTGCCCTGAGCTGTAGGTTCCTCATAAAAGGACACGTAATCCAGTGACCTCAACCTCCTCACTCTAAAATTATGGCAAAAGGGTAAGGCGACGTTCTAAGTGAGACGTTGTTGCAGTGTTTCAGGTTTCAGACAAATTCCAGAAACAGCAAACTTTTAGTTAATGCCACATGCATTTATTGAGCACCACGGTATGTATGCCAGCGACTATGCGGGGGCTAGTGAAAAAAGATGAAAAAGACATAATTTTAACCTTCAAGAACTCGTCGTTTAGGGTTTGGCATATAAACAAACAATGTAAAATAGTATTAAAAGAACAAAAATGGAAAGATGGAGGTGGCAGGGGCACTTACATTATTAGGAGAGGGATTCTAGAGAAGGTGCCTGAGCTGGGCGTGGAGCTAATAGTCTTTCGTGAATGGTCTGAATCCATTAATTCTATTATATATATATATATATTTTTTTTTTAATAAAAAAGGGAATCCATCTCCACTATCCTTTTGGAGAGAGAGGCTATTTCCCTGTCTTGAGTTCCTTACATCCCTGTAAGTTCATAAACTGGGAGGACTGAGAGCATCCGCTCAGCCTGGTTAGAAATCTGTTAGATTGCAGATTCCAGGTGCACAAAAGATGCGTTACCTAAGCTTTGTGTAACAGTCCACTGACATTACTCAGTACACCCAAAGCGCTCCACCTGCTCATGGTTCTCTGCATGTCCTCACTTCCCCATGTTTGCAGACATGAAACTCTTATCAGGTCAAGTAATCTGGTTTCCCAGAGTAATCTTCTCTTTACCACCTGACAGAGCTAAATACTGTGGCTTGGAAATTGCATTTCTCATTGCACGTGGATGAACTGGCATTGGTTGATCAAGCAGTTTCTTGGGAAATCGGTTCATTTAATTTAATTCCCCTGAGCCTGATCAACTTGTCACAGACCAGATTGAGGACCAGCCCTTTAGACCATGGTGACTCCCTCTCACTTCTCTCCATCCTTCTCTAACTTCAAAGGTATTTCTTAGAGTCTTAAAAATTATAAGCACTGGCTAATCTTCAATCTAGCCCCATTCCTTAACAAGATAAATGAAATTGATGCATCTTTTCTGCTCTGGCCATTTGTAAATGTTATTTTCTTTTATTTTTTTAACACTTTATTTTAACCATGAATATTTTATTCATGGTTATTTTGACCATGAATAACTTTCTTTCTCTTTCTCTCTCTCTCTCTTCCCCAGAAGCAGTTGCGGACGGCTGCTCAAGAGAAACGAACAGGATAGAAGAAATCAAAGGTTATATTGGTTGGGTAGTAAGACCCTCTGAATTCTACAGGATAATTCTCAAATGGACATATCCCTAATGAACACTAACCCCAATCTGCACATATGCCCAGAGATGGCTGCCGCTCACAAGTGCTTAGCACTTGTCCACTTACAGAGCCCTTCCATGAGTGTCATATCATGTAGTCTGACAATTCCATGAGGAAAGCAATGATTCTGATTTTTGATTGCTGTGTAACAGATCACTCCAAAACCTAGTGGCTTAAAACAACCACCATTTTATTATTTCTCATTATTCTGCAATCTGGGTTAGTCTCAGCTGGGACACTGGGGTGGCTGGTCTTCTCTTTCTCTTCACCTGGCCTCCTTATACTATAGATTCATTTTGCTTGTTTTACAATTTCATGCAAGTGAAATCATACTGTATGTACTCTCTTGTGTGTAGCTTCTTTCACTCTGCACAATATTTTTGACATTCACCAATGTTGCATGTAGTTCATTTCTTTGTATTCGTGAGTAGTATTCCGTTGTATGAATATACAAAAGTTCATCTGTTGTATTGGTGGACATTTGGGTTGTTTCCAGTTTTTAGGCACGAATAAAATGTTTATGAGTATTCTTGTCTGAGTTCTTTTGTGAACACATGCTTTCATTTCTCTTGGATAAACAAATAGGAGCAGGATTGCTGAATCATAGAAGAGATGTGTGTTTTACTTTAGAAGAAGCTCTTCCATAGTCTTCTGAAGCAGGTAAATTGTCCTGCATTTCCAGCAACAGTATATGTGAGTTCTGGTTGTTCTAGCTCCTCATCAATATTTGGTGGTGTCAGTTTCTCTTAAAACTTGTAGCCATTCTAGTGGATGGATAGTCAGTTCTCAATGGACCTTTCATCTGAATTTTCCTGATGACAAATGATGGCATCTGCTACTTCGTGTGCTTCTTAGCAACTTGCACATCTTCCTGTTCAAGTCTCTTGCCCATTTTTGAATTTGGTTATCTTTTGATTACTGAATTTTAGGAGTTCTTTTATATACTTTGGTTATAATCTCTTTGTCAGATGTTTGTGTGTTGTGAATATTTTCTTCCCATCTGTGGCTTGCTGATTAGTTTTTATAATAACGTCTTTCCATGAGCAGTTTTTAATTTTGACAAAGTTCAATTTGTCAATTTGTTTTTCATGATTATTACTTACTGTGAACTAGGAAACTTTTGACTACTCCTGAGTCCTGGAGATATTCTCCTATACTTTCCTTTATAACTTTTATAGTTTAAGCTTTTTCATTTAGGCCTATGACCCATTTCAAATTAATTTTTGTGTATACTATGAGGTAAGAATTAAGGTTGGTTTTACTCATGGGGATAGCCAATTGTTTTAGACTTTCATTTCCCCCTTGAATTTTTTTTTCTTTTTTTTTTTTTTTTTTGAGTTGGAGTCTCACTCTTGTTGCCCAGGCTGGAGTGCGATGGCATGATCTCGGCTCACTGCAACCTCCGCCTCCTGGGTTCAAGTGATTCTCCCGCCTCAGCCTCCTGAGTAGCTGGCATTACAGGCACGAGCCACCACATTCGGCTAATTTTTGTATTTTTAGTAAGAGACGGGGTTTCTCCATGTTGGCCAGGCTGGTCTCGAACTCCCGACCTCAGGTGAGCCACAGGCCTCGGCCTCCCAGAATGCTGGGATTACAGACATGAGCCACTGCACCCAGCCCCCTCTTGAATTGTTTTGATGTTATTGCTGACAATTATTTGACTGTGTATTTGCAGGTGACCCAAACTTTTGACCCCAAGGAAAAATAGGTGTTTTATCACTAAGGACAGAATAATGCTTTTTCTATGTTCTTTCTAAGTTTCCTGGGGTCTGATTCATATCTAGCAACAGAAAAAAGTTCATCAAAGTTTACGGCTAAAATGAATGCCTCACTTTCCGTGGCTCATTCAGTTTGTTGACAAGACCTCTGCAAAGTTGTCCACATTAAGTTAGATAAGAGCCAAAAGCAGAGGCATTATCCAATTTGCTTTTTTGTGTATGAGCAAATAATTAAGCCTATTGGCTAGCAATGCCTCAGTGCTCCTGTCTTAACCTGCATGAGCTTAAACAGTAAGTCAAAACTAAACCTCTTTGTTAGAGAAATTCAAACAAATACTAGATAAAGAACATTTGACAAGCCACTGAAAAACCCTTCAGTTGGCCCTTCAAGGAGAAACGGATAGCAGAGGCTCTGGAGGTTTAAAACTGTCCTAAAAATAGGAATGACCATAGAAGAAACGTTCCTCAGAATCAACTTCTTAAAAGATGCCAGCACAGCTCTCCTCTGAAGTTCTGGAAATTAGCCTTTTGCCCAGCCAGCGGTTGCCACCTGTCCTGTCATTTCAGAAGTTTTGATAGTGAGGTTGGGTGGGGAGTCCTTTGTGCAGCCCGGTGGGGGCAGACATGAGGCAGCCATTTTGGCACCAGCCTTGCGGGTCTGCAGAGAGAGCTTTGCAGTGTAAGCAGTGTTTATGTTTCAGATCCCCAGTGGGTGTGAAACGTTGTTGAGCACACAATGCCTGCCACTGTAGCCTACTTGGGGCTAGGAACCTGGGGTGGATGGAGACAAGCACTGTGGTTACGAAGGGCTTTATACTCCAGTGAGCCAAACCTCTAGATGAACCTGTTTATCTCGTTGTCAGAAGGGCACTTTATCCAGGGAATTAATTCAGAAGTGAAAGGCATCACGTGGGAGTTAGGCTAGATATGCCTAACCCAGGCTTGTTCCTTCTCTCCTTCCCGAAACCTCTAACTCAGCTAAAGCACCAAAAAGGAAAATTATATCTAATTAGCTTAACTACTGGAGACCCCCAAAGCTCTTTACTTGGTGTAGGATCATGGAAACCAAAACAATAAAACATTTGTTGGGAATGCCAAGCTCTCCTCTGAGGCTGACTCATGTAAAGGAGCATGAGTCCTTCCCTATCCTTTCCTTGAGGCTTCCCCGTCCTTTCCCTGAGCCCTGTATTGTTTGAGTAAATCTGAGTAGGAAAGACTAAGATAGGTAGATAGATAGAAGAGATACTAAATCAGGCATGTGTGTGTATGTGTGTTTCACATCAGAGGATGGTAGGATTTCTATACATGTGATAGGAAGGAGGATGAAAGAAAATTGTATAAAAGAGAAAGAAAAGAATGTGTGTGGCAAAAGGAGAAGAAAAAAAATCAATGCAGTGTATTGCATAGAATGAACACAGGATTTGGGGCTAGATATACATTCACACCTGCCACTATTACTTCTTCTACTACTGCAACAAATGCCAACAACAGCATAAAGAAGGCATAAATTATTGTGTGTTTGTGTTCCGGAGCAACGTTAGACCTGTTAAATATATTATCTCATGTATTACTTGTGACAATGATATATATTTCATTATTCCCATTTTTCAGATGATGACACTGAGGCCCAGAGAAATGAGTGACTGGTCATGATCCTACGGCTAGCTAATACATGGAGAAGCTATGAGTTGAAAATAGGTCTGCTTGACTCCAATGCCTGCACTCTTAACCTTGCTCCAGTAAATAAATGACAAACACTCATTCAATAAACTTACTCCGTTTTTACTGGTTCAAGTTCTGCCTCTGTCCTGTGACCTTGGATAACCTCTCTGATCTTAAGTTTCTTTGTGTGAAATATGAACTAATGCCTGTGCCTCCCAGCTTGCAGAGTTGCTAGGAGGATTAAATGAGATAATTTATGTGGAGGTGCTTGGTACATTGTGAAGCGCTAAACAAATGTGAGGGCTTGCTATTTGGGGCTTTTTTTGCATTTTCTGGTTTCTCTGCTCCTTTGCAGAGATGCTCCCACTTATGAATCTGCAAAACTGTTGATGTAGTCCATGATATTAGAAGCTACTTTTCATCCAAACACACATCCCTTTTTCTTCTCACCCTTTTCTCCCTCTCACCAGGGGCAGCTAAATTCTATTGCTCCCAGTCTCCAAAAGAGACACAAGTTTGAAGTTCAATAAAAAAATCAAATATAGCAGATTCCAAATAGCCACTCAGCCAGAGTCGGGAAAGAATAGCTATTTCCTATATCTTCGTAAGGGGTGAAGGAATAGAAGTTTGTGGATTAACTAACACTTTAAAATTATTTCAAGTCTAGTAAATGCAACGGAAGGTAGAGACGGTTGAGCTGTAGAGGCAGAAAATCACCATGACTCAGAAGCTAGTCTTTAATTTGCTCAGTATCCAGTGTCAATTAGACTGAGTGAAATTGACTGACATCGACCACATTCTAAAATATAACTTGAAAATAAAAAAAAAAAATTATATATAATTTCTAAGCTGCACTTCGGGCTCTTTTATGTGCATGGAAAATATAAGACCAGGTATCCTCAGGTGATCAGAGTTTATTTTTAAGCTAAATAAGTGGAGAGCAAGACTACAAAACTGTGCTGAGTGTATGCATGCTCTGGTGGACCAAGTATTTTCATGACCAATGCAACCTGAAAACCTGCGGAGAACTTGAACAACGGCCTATCATCATGTAGGGTATCAGGACCAACTTCCCTCCCTTTATTGCATATTAATCCCAAAACAAAGGTTCTGATTCATAGACGTCACCATCTTCTTTGAAGTTTCTGCACCGGGTGGAGTCTCACGTGAGCCATCTCATAAGTGATTGGCTAACCTTACACCTATAAATGAGTGTCTCTGTTGGGACATTGGTAATTGGTCCAATTATAGAGCCCAAGGCAGCTGGTTTAACTCAGACACTGGCAAAATACCATGTGCAGCCAGATTAGCCTGGCATAGCTTTCCTTTAAAAAGGAGCTCTTTCTAGGGAGCATGCCAGGTGTGTTGAACTTCAAGCAATACTTAAAAATTTGTGTCAGCTGGAAAATGTGTTCCCTGCCCTGTAGGGATACTTTCCATGGGAGCTTTCTTGCTGAGCATGGAATCGGAGCAAGGGGAGTGAATTGGATGACCTTAATGACATCAGGCAGTGCCAGCCGGGTGTGCACAGCCTTGCCGAGTACTTCTTTCCAATTGAGCATGTGGATGTGAATGTTTCCATCCCAGGGACTTGGAGCCAGGGTGAGAGAAGCAGGAGGAAGCATCCTGAAGGGTCTTGCTTGGCCCGCTGTGGTTTTAGATCTTACACATCAATAGACACATTCTAGGGTTACTTTCTTCCTACTCATTATGCCTCAAAGGCATTGCATCTGCTGGTCTTTGTACAGCGCTGGAGGCAGCATTCCTGACTCTTTGGACTTCACTTTTACTAGGTTCCAAGCACACCATTCCCCATCTGTTAATGCACTTTTGGTGTCAGGCAGGGAACATTAAGATTGATGAGCTTTCAGCAGGTCTGCTTTCCTGAGACGACAACTTAGTCTTCTGCTCCTCGATGCACACAACACTGGTAGAGGGCTCTCCTAGGCCAGGTACTGTGCTGGGCACTGAGGACTAAAGCAAGGAGGAGAAATGTGGTCACAAAGGCCTTACAGTCGGGTGGGGATATAGCAGCTTAACCAAATACCTATCTTGGTGTGACAGGTATCATTGATAAATAAGGAAAAAGGGAGTATGAGTGGGAAAGTGATTAACTCTGTCTGAAGGGCTCAAGGCAGTCTTTATAGATGAGTTTCAA